AGTGACTTGCTTTCTTAGCCAAGATTCCAACCTAGGTCCTCCTGATTCAAAGCCCAAGATTTTATTTCTATTTGCCATTTTAAGGCTCTTCCATCCCAAACCAAGTACGCCCTTTTTCTTCTACCATGATGAGTAATGGAACTCTGGATTCATATTATAGCCCTTTAAGTTCTCCCAATTGTATTCCTTCTAACAACCCAGTGTGGAAGTAGGGCAGATATTATGTCAATTTTACAGGTGAGGACCTAAAGTTCAAAAAGGTTCAAAGGCAGTAAAAAGGTTTTGATGGGTTTTGAACCTCATTTGATTCTCACAAAAACCATGAAATGTTGGTTAAGTTCTGTTCATTTTTACAGTTGAGGAAACTGAGGCAAACAGGTTAAATGACTTCCCCAGAGTCATACAGTAAGTGACTTAAGCTATAGCTTTATTTGAACTCAGGTCTTCCTGGGTTCAGGCCCAGCTCTTTTCTATCCACCTTGCCAAATAGCTGCTGCCATAAAACTTTCCATAAATGCAAAGGACAAGAAAACAAAAGAGAAAAATTAGTGACCTAGCTTAAACCTAAAGAGTTGATTGAGGAAATGCTAGGTGGTAAGGATAGCTATGTGACCCAGTGGATAGAAGCCCAGCCCTGAAGGCAGAAACACTCATTTTCCCAAGTTAAAATCTGACCTCAGACACTTAGTAGCTTTGTGACTCTGGGAAAAGTCATTTAACCATTTCTGCCTCAGTTTCCTCATCTGTAAAATGAGCCGGAGAAGAAAACAGCAAATTTCTACAGTATCCTTGCAAAGAAAACCCATACAGGGACATAAAGATTGATCAAAAAGAACCTTTCATTGCAAAAGTGAGTGTGGAATGTTGCACATGCTGTCAGATGTAATTGATCTGATGACATTAAGATCATATGTAGGTTGAGAGAAGACCAAGTCCAATCCCTCATTTTACAGTGTGATGAGTGAGTTGCCACTTGCCTGTCACCTATCTAGTAATCATGAGAGGGGATTAATTTTTGATTGGTTTCACTGAACTCTTCATTGATAACTTGATAAAGCCTTTCTACGTACTTAGAACAAATTTAAGCATAAAATGAGGTACAGACAGTATGTAATTAACTAAGAAACTAATTAACTAAGACTGAGCTACTTGCTAGTAACACAGAAGAGTTTGGATTTGAACAAATGTCTTTCCTGACAAGCTACTTTGTTGTACCATTTCAAGTCATCTATTTGTTGTTTGGTCATTTTCCATGGTGTCTCTAATTTTCTATAGAGAACTTACCACTCTGGTCTTGACTGGATATTCACCATTATTTAGACACATCTCGTACTTTTCTACTATTGTTCAGAATGTTGTGTCATTTCAGTCATGTCCAACTTTTTTCTGGGTTTTCTAGGCAGAAATTCTACAGTGGCTTGCCACTTCTGTCTCCAGCTCATTTTACAGATGAGGAAACTGAGGCAAAGAGAGTTTAGTGACTTGCTCAGGGTCACAGGGTCTGAGGCCAGATTTGAACTCAGGAAGATGTGTGTTCCTGACTTTAGGCCAGACACTAACTAACTACTGAGCCACCTAGCTAGCTGTACTATTCACTCAAGGTTTTCAGTGACATTATAATGAAGGAAAAATGTGCAAAAATGTACATACAAGACAAGTAAAATGTAAGTGGAATGTAATCTTGGGAGTGAAAGGACTAGACAAGCCTCCAGCATGAAGAAGAGCAGGTATGGGGATCAGCCAGTATAAAGGCCAATAGATGGGAGAAGAGATGGAATGGTTATTGCAAGAAAAAGTAGTAGCCATGTTATAGAGTTTGAGCCTGGAAAGGTACTGTGTTGGCAGATGACAGGTCTCAAAAGCCTTAATTGTCAGGATTATAATTTTTCTTAGAGGTAACCAGTCAGACCTGCACTTTAAAAAGATCATTCAGGCAGCTATGTGGAGACAGACCAGAATGAACAGAACTTGGGCAGAGAGACCAATTAAAATGCTATTATTAACTAGTCCAAGCTAGGGAGAGCTTAGGTGAACGCTGAGAGGAGAGAAATGTACATTGTGAAAAGTAGAAGTTACTAGATTAACAGATTAGATATTTGGGGTAAAATTGAGAATAGGGAGTCAAGGATGACAGATTTGTGAGTCTGAGTGACTGGGAAGATTGCGGAGTCCTCAAGCACAGATTAAGTCGGGAAGAGGAAAGAGAGAGGGAGGAAGAGGGCAACATTATTGAGTTCTGTTTGGGACATACAGTGAGTTGAGATGCCTATGGAACACATCCAGTTCAGGATGTCCAATAGGTGATTCTAGACCGAAGTCAGAAGTTATGGCTGGGTATATGAATAAGATGTCTTCATTTGAATTATAGTTAGATTCATGGATGATAGAAACAGGAAAGCCAGGGACAAACCCAGGTCTGAATTCAAATCTGACCCTTTTCATTATTACTAAACTTTCACTTATCCTACATACATAAGGTTGGTTTAAGGAATATCACCTATTCCGGAGAATAAATTAAATGCTTCATCTTTCTCTAATTATAAGACAAGTTCTCATTAAAGAGCCATCAAAGCTTCCATATCCATCAATATAGTCATATTTTGGGGGGTAACAAGGAGCTAGAAATGCTCACCAAATGGGGAACAGCTGACAAATTTACCTGCATAGAATACTATCATCATAAGATTGAATATGAAGAATTTTAGATTAGCATTGGAAGGTATGTAATTTTATGTAAAAAGGTAAGCATAAACAAGGATCAAAGCTAGAAATTATCAAAACTGAATCTTGGACAATTTAAATTGAACAAGCTTTCACTTATTTCCCTTCTTTGCACAAGTGATGGAGGATGGGTGTGAAATGTGAGCACACTAATAGGGAAGTCAGTATTACAGAAAGATCTCCCTCAATCACTTTGCCTCAAGTTCTGCTCTAGGCAACTATAATTATAGATGCCCATCTTAAGTGGGTGAAGTTTCTTCCCCCAAAAGTTCCCACACTGGCAAAGTCAGATCTCTACCCCTACTTGGTTAATATAATCAGGGTGGATTTCCTGAATTCATTTTCCTTTTTTTTTTTTCATTTATTTTAAGAGGAATGGCAAGACAGTTGGAGGAAGACTGGGGAAAGAAATTGTGAAATGTGACAGTAAAACAATCAATTTTTAAAAATACTTACTAAAGGATCCCCTAAAATACCAATCTCAGCTGAGCTATCAGAGAAGAAATATCACAATCAAGTCCAGGGCTATGAGAATCCCAAGGAGCACCTCACTGATAGATCATTATGTCATTCCAGACCCTGCAATTGAGGAAACTGGGAAGATTTCTTGGTACGGATGTTTTTCTGGCTGTTACTCTTTTACACAGGTGTAGATCTTGGGCAGAGTTAGGCCAGGAATTTGGCCTTTTGAATTCACAAGGAGAGTAATGATTTCGTTTCCATTTTCAAAGATGTAGGAAAATTTATGTGTCTTATGGAATGATATGAACTAGAATGAAACACCAAGGAATAGTAATGGGCTTTGTTAGCTAAACTATTTGCTCCTGACAGAAAATCAGAATCTCTTCTGACTCTAGGTTCTGGTTCTGATTCTGATTCTTCTCCCTAGGCTCACTAACCCCTCCCCACCCCCAAACCAAGTCTTAAGTCTTAGATAATGCAAGATCACATTTAGGCCTGGAAGAATGACAGCCCACCCCAAGGATATAGCCTGTATTTGTATAGTTTAAAACACTTTCCATTGTTACCCTCATTCAACTGGAAGAATGGAAGTCTCAGATGTTTGAAACAATTGCACAGGGTCCCCCCCCCATTAAGGGTTAAAAAACTGAACTTGGATTCAATTCAAAATGACATTAGTTGCATTCAAAGTCTGGGTTTCAGCACTCAACCCACAAAGCTCAACTATTGAGCCTCTATGCTTATTTCTCCCCCTCTCCCTGTACCCTAAGGCAAAGGAGTTAGCATTAATCAAGCTTGGTAGGCATTTGTTTGCAAGTATTTGGTCTCCATTAGATTGTAAGCTCTTTGAGCACTAGAATTTCTCTCTTATCTGCACTATCCTGAGTGCTAGCCACAGTGCAGGTACAGAGTAGGCACGTTTACTGACTAATTTGGTAGAGATCCTCGACCACCCATTCCCTGGTCAATGAACCCTCTGGAACACTCTCCAGAAGTCCTGCTTTGGACAGTTTGGATTAAAGGCTAGTTCAGTTGGCCTCTTTATTAAACCCTACTGTACATGGGTTTTCTTGGCAGATATTGGGAGTGGTTTACCATTTCCTTCTCCAGTAGACTAAGGCAAATAAAGGTAAGGTGACTTTGGACCACTGAACCAGAAACTGTAGAAGATGAAAAGACGGATAAACCTATATCTTCACATACATACATACATACATATATACATACATACATACATACATATATATACATACACACACATATATATACACACACATATATATACACACACACACACACACACACACACATATATATATGTATATGTAAAAATATTATCACAGACCTCATTCACATGAGTGAATGGGGGGAAAAACTGATCCCCCTCTCATCTGCCAGTGGTTAAATATTTTTGACCCTCATCTCTACAGTTGATTGTTTGGATCTCTTAGAAACAATCGAGGGCACAACTACAGCCATGGTGCCACATTCTAGAAGAGCTTGCAGGGCATACTGACCCCACCCCCACCCTTCATTTTGGTTCCTAGGCTAATTTTCCACATGATGGTGCTCAGAGAGCTGAAACCTTTAGAATAATCCTGGATCTGTCAACCTCCATCATTTTCAACTGGGGCTTCAGGCTTCTAGGGAACTGGGTTGCTTTCTCCAACACTGAGCAGCTTCAAGTAGCTCTTGAACTCACTATTTTGCATTTGTTTGGCTTCCCATCTTCCCTCAGTCTCATTCTGGATTGCCCTCCTTTGTTCCCTCAAGTTAAGACTTAATTTTCCCTCAGGTTCTAATACTCTTGGACTCACCTTTAACTACTCAAAAAGAGTGACTCTCCTAAAAGTTCCTCTTCTCTCAGGTGTCGCAGAAATTCCTATTCCCTGTTGGGCAAATAGAAAATTGTTTAAAATTTGTTTTTTTGGACGAGACCTATCAAATCACCAGTATAGAGAATTAATATGCTTAGTACCTTCTCTATAACTTAAATCTTCCAGAATGTTGCTGGGCACATGGAGAGATTAAATAATTTGGCTAAGTCGTTGCTCTTAAGAAGTTCAGTCACTTAGATGTCAAAGATGAGCCTTGAATCCTGGTACTCCTAACTCCTAAGCTAGCTTTATCTATTACTTCACACTGATAGTAAGAGGCAAGCTAGAAGAGTTATTATGAGACTGTGTCACATTATGACATTGACATTTGTCTCCAACAAGAACCCACAAAACCATAGACAGGGGCATCCAAACAGGAAGAATTGGAAGGGTGCAAAATTTATTGGGCACAAAAATTAACACACAGTCATTAGCAGAATACGAAGTTGGGGTGGGGGTGGGGGTGGGAGGGAGGCAGCCTCAGAAACTGGCCAAGGTATGCAATTTCCAGGCATCTTTAAGAAAACTAATGTGATGCCTCCCTCTTTCCCTGATGCCGATAAGAAATTCCTACTCTAGCACATGGGATTGTCTCCCCATAGATAACTTTTCCCTTCCTCCTTTCCAAGCAAGTCAGCCTCTCCCACCCTACCCCTCTGGAAGCAACAATATTGCTCCCACACACAACACTCCCAGTAAAAGCAAATAATGATCCCCTCTACATTCCCTTCTGAAAAGGGTCATAAGTATGAGTTCCCATATTCCGATTGAGATTCTATACCTAAATTCACCAGGGTAACTTTCATTCCCTATTGTATTTGTGTTACAACATATACTTTCACATGATGAGATACAAAGTTCATTTCAAGGCATTGTTTCACAAGACAGCAATTGTCTCCACTGGCAAAATTGCTAGGTGCGGTTCTCAGGAAAAAAAAAAAAAGGCAGATCTTGCCTCCAAAAGCCTAAACCATCATCTTTTTAAAAAAAAAAAAAAGACTAGATTCATGAGAAATTAAATAACTTACCAAATAAAGTTCCCTCCAGGAGCCAGTACTATTCCAAGATTAGACGAAGCTGAAATTTACCTCACTACCTTCCTTAGACCAGGTACCAGGTAGGTGTCTTGAAATCTCTCTGCCTCTCAGGAAAAGATTCCCTTCACTCCCTCCCTCCAACCAATTTCTTTATTTACAATGTCCCCTCCTCCAGGCCAGTAGTCTTCCAATGCTCTAACAGCAGTCCCCAATCCCTTTTATCTTTCAGTAGGAGGGGGGAAACAACCAAGACCAGATGGGTGTGTCTACCCACCCAGGGGAAGACATCATTAAGCATCCCAGGAATTGTCTAAACCAAAATGCCCCGCCCCTTATCTCCACTCCCCATGGTGTTAACATTGATAGTAAGTTCCTCAAGGGCAGGGTGAATCTTAGCTTTTGAATGTGCACTCCCCAGCTTGAAGTAACTAGGAGATAAGTGCTAAAACTTCCCTTAAAAGCTTTGACATCAAGAAGCATTAATCAGGTTGACTGGGGAGAGTTTGGGCTAAGTACTAGAGAAACAAAGAAAGGCTAAAAAAAAAGAAAAGAAAAGAAACAGTACTAGCTTTTTTGAAAGCTCACAGAAATAAAGCATCAGAATTTATTGGTTAAATATTCATAATAGCACGTTTGCTAGAGCAAAATGGGGGCGAGGGAGGGAAAGGGCAGGGATCAGCCTTCAATTAAGGGGTGTCTGAACATATTGCGATATTTGTTGTTCAGTCGGGTCCAACTCTCCATGACCTCATTTGGGGTTCTCTAGGCAAAGATACTGGAATGGTTTGCTATTTCCTTCTCCAGCTCATTTTACTGATGAGGAATCTGAGGCAAATAGTGACTTGCCCAAGGTTACACAGCTAGGAACTATCTCAGGTCATATTTGAGCTCAGGTCTTCCTGACACCAGGCCCAGTATTGTATGCCCTGCTCTGCCTTAGCTGCCCAAAACTGTGGTATATGGAGGTTATTTTATGGCATGTATGAAACCATAGATGAGGAATTCAGAGTAACAATTAAGGCTTATATGGAGTAATGCAAAAAAAAAAGAAAATCAAGAGAACAACATATGAAACGATTACAGATAATATAAATGAAAACAAAACCAAAAGGCATTAAACCTCCTACTAAATTCAATGATCAGCCTTGTCTCTAAGAACAAATAATAAAATATAATTCACACCTCGGTAGAAAAGCTGGGACTCTGGTTAAACTATTGTACATACTATGAAATCTAAGGGGCAGCTAGGTGGCAGTGGATAGAGCACCTGCCCTGGATTCAAGAGGACCTGAGTTCAAAACTGGCCGTGGGCACACAATACTTAGCAGCTGTGTGACCCTGGGCAAGTCACTTAACCCCATTGCCTAGCCCCCCCCCAAAAAAAAATATATATACACACTGTGAAATCTAGTCACTTTACTGATGAGTTTGATTAACTGTATTCCTTTTTTTTTTACAATGAAGCATTCTAAGGTGAATATTTATAAATAACTATGGTAATAAACTGAAGTCTCAATAAGATTGCAATTATATTCAATTAAGTAATTGAAAGGTGAGTAAGAAAGCTGTGTGATACCCGGTCTGGTTCCTGTGAATAGGGTAAGTTGGAAATACAAGTTACCACATCTCTCAGCACTGATCTTCCATGGCTGAGACCCATGCCTGATATGTTCTCCCTCCTGGGCTCCACCCACAAACCTCCCTGGCTTCTTTAAGCCCCAACTAAAATCCCACCTGCTTCACGGTACCAAACTCCTCTTAATTCTAGTGCTTTCCTTCTATTAATTTTTCCTATTTATCCTATATGTGTTGTTTACATTTATAGTTTTGTATATGTTTGTACTTATATTTTGCACATATTGTTTGTATTTATATTTGCTTATTTGTATATATTGTTTAACTTGCTGTTTCCCCTATTAAGATTTGCAACGTCCAGGGGCAGCTAGATAGACAGTGGATAGAGTACCCACCCTGAAGTCAGGAGGACCTGAGTTCAAATGTGACCTCAGACCAAACACTTGACACTTACTAGCTGTGTGACCCTGGGCAAGTCACTTAACCCAATTGTCTTAAAAAAAAAAAGATTGTAAGGTCCTTATAAGGGCAGGGACTGGTGTTTTTTGAATCCTCAGCACTTAGCAGAGTACCTAGTGTTTAATAAATGTTGATTCATTGATAGATTGCTCTCTATTAACCTGCACATTAACCTACACCTTTTCCAGGTGGTAGATTCTACAAGTAACTGGGTTGTTTTTGTGATTGTTCAGTTCTCTCTGACTCTGTGACCCCACTTAGGTTTTTGGTTTTGGTTTTTGCTTTTTTTTTTTTTTTGCAAAAAAAGTTTGCTATTTCCTTGCCCAGTTCATTTTATACAGATGAAGAAACTGAGGCAAACAGGATTAAGTGACTTGCCCAGGGTCACATAGCTAGTACGTATCTGAAGCCAAATTTACACTCAGGAAGATGAGTCTTCTTTATTCCATATCCAGTGCTCTATCCACTGAGCCCCAGTTAGATAACATTGGTCAAATCACTTCATCTCTTCTGGGCCTCATTTTCCTCATCTATAAAATAAGAGTGATAGAGTATTGCTCTAGTTTAAGCTTCTTAAACTTTCTGCGCTGTTGACCCCTTTTCTTCCAAGGAATTTTTACTCGACCTGGTGGATAGATATATAAAATAGGTATACAAATCAAACATTTACTGATATTAAATCATAAAAAATTTGTTTTTTAAATTTATTTATTTAGAAATTTATTTTAAAAACAATTATTTGGCATAAACATAATTTTACTATTTTTAAAGATGAAAGCAAATTTGCATACTAATGAGATGGATGTGCTTGTTTATTTTTACATAAAGAATTAAATCTTGGCAGAATATTTGATGCTACAGGACATAGAGCATCTTCAAGGTTTTTCAGAGTTAATTTACATTTTGATTTTACAATCATCAAGGCTGAGAATGGCACTTCACACACATACTTAGTGCAAAATAGCAGAAGTACATTTAGGGCCATTTGAGAAATTTTTTGCAATTCTGACCTAATCCCAAGCCAAAATTCACTTAACGATAGTTTTAAACCTGTGTCACTTGATAACTCAGCAAATTTTTCTTGAACTTTTAATCGCAGATGACTGACATATTTTATTTCAATTGAATATAGTTTATGAACCCAACTTAGTTTTTTAGAATCAAAATTTGAAGGCAAGTAAATGTTTCCGAAACTGTGCCTCTAGGTACTTAAGATGATCAATTATAACTCTTACAACTAAATCTTTGGCAAGGTTATTTTCAATTATAATATCATCTGTAATTGTAAACATTTCTAAAGAATCATTTTCCACCCTATTCTTCCACATGTTAACTTTTTGAGTAAAACTTTCAGTTTTATCTTTTAGCATAAATATGCTACAATTTTTTCCTTGAAGTGACATTTTTAAATCATTGAGTTTTTCAAAAATATCCGACAAATAACAGTTTTGAAAGCCATAAGTCATTATGAGAAAAATTAACAAAATTGGATTTCTGTTCAGTCAAAAATACAACTTCATCTTTCAATTTCAATAATCTGTTTAAACTTCACCCTCTTGAGAGCCACCTTTCCTCTGCTGGTAGTGATAAGCATCTGTAATTGGAATCCACTTCTTTCCAAAGGTTTGAAAACAAAGGACTATTTAAGGGCATGGCTTTTAATGAAGTTAATGAATTTGATAGCATCATGAAGCACAACATCTAACTCCGGTGATAATTTTTTGTCTCCGACTGCCTCCCAATGAATCATGCAGTGAGTAAAAGTGATGTGCTCATTGCCACCAGCTTTTAACTTTCCCTCCCATTCTAATACTCTTGACTCACAAAAATTAACACACATTCATTAGCAGAGTAGGAAATTGGGATGGGGGTGGGAGGGAGGCAGCTCAGAAACTGGCCAAGGTGTGCAAAGAGGTTCAATTTCCAAGCACCTTTAGGGGAAG